TAAAAAATAAGGGACACCCTAATATATATATATATCCTTAAATATTGAAAAAAAAACTTTCCACTTTTCATTTTTGGGTTGGAATTTCTCAAAAACCTGATGTAATTATAAAGCCGAATACTAATAAATTCAGTATTAGGTATTGAGCCATTCTTTTATTATACAAATATTTTCTTAAATAGAAACTAAGCAGACTTGAGGCCCCATTTCATTTTGCCGTCTTAGTCTGCCACAGCGTAAATGCCCTTTAATTGATATAATTTTTTTGTCAAATTTCTGCTGACATTACCTTAAATATAAGGCAACTTGAATCTGTTACCAACATTAGCCTACAAGTTTCATCCCTACAAAATTAATTAATTCATAGAGTTCATTCAAGTTGATTTTGATCAGCAACATCAATTTTGTAACTAGGTCAAGAAAGGTTTAGGCTTAGCCTAGGGATGCGAGATACGATACGATGTTTTTGAGTATTGATACTTTATTTTTAGGTAGGTACTTGATATTTTATATCGATATTTTTCATTCGGTACATAATGAGTATCGATACATTTTATGTATATCGATATCTGACGATCCGCTATACCAATTTGGAAATATTACTTATCAATGTCAAAACAGGTTGGATGTAAATCGATTATCAAAAATATTATTTTTACACTTTCCTCCAAAATAATTTTTATTTACCTGGGGTATCGATTTTTTCTACGACGATATATTACCGTATTACTTTATAATATGGTTTGGCATGCACCTTGTACTACATCCGAGATCCACTTTTTCTAGATTGCTCCAGCTTCCACCCATTCGAGATTCTGAAATAAATCCAGAAAGACGGCGGAAGAGATAGAGCTAATGTTGGTTGCGTCAGAAAGGGTTAGATATCTGTAGACTGAATTTGGTCGGCTTGTCAGACGGAATACTGATTATAGTTTTGGTCTGAAGGCAGGAACTTAGGTTAACCCATATTTTTAGTTGTTTTTTATGGGTTTGTTTTTTATGCGAACTTTAGGTTAATTTTGTTAGACAGGTTCAGGAGCCACTGGCAGCTTTGCTGATCTCTGTCATGCAAGTTCATCAGTCTTTTTATTTTATTCATTACCGTGTCGTTTAACTCATACATGTACTAGGACATTGCATTCCGCTACCAACCCCGAGCCAACTATATTGTGTCTTAAAGCCATCAAGGAGGCCCTGCTGTCTAAAAGGATTCTTATTGTTTTTCCATTTACATGAATCTCTATCCAGTATGCCTGTGATTTTACACTGGAATATGGTCGTATAGAGATACCCAATGATATACTGAGACGAATGGATGAGCTTTAGAGCCTGTTTCTGGATCCATCAGTGAAAATAGTATGTGGGGATCCATTTATACACACCTAATCACTCACTGCACTTAAAAGAGATGTCCTTCGGACACTATTGTCCAGTGACCGGCAGTAGTATGGAACACATTACAAAATGTGTTTTTTATTTCCGCACATTTTGTTGTAAAATTTTCATATTTGTCGCATTTTTAAAGATGCCATGACGTCATCGGCTGTTTTTTTAAATTGTACCCCTTTTTTTGCATATTCGAATAGTTTATGAAATTCTAAATTCAGAAATATGCACATACCTTTTGGGATGATAGTTTTGAGTATAATTAAACTTAAAAGTTCGTGATCTAAAAATTTTTATTTTCAAAAAAATATTTTTTATCATAAAAATTATTTTGAAAATGTTTTTAATGGATAAATTATCCAATTAAGTGCTCCCCGTTGGTTTCTTGACAGTAAGCAAGCCTATCCAAAAATTTTCTGAGAACGTTTTGGATGACTTAAGCACTAATAAAGCGACATTCTTCACGAATTTGATTTCTAAATTGTGTGGTCTGTTGATGTAGACCTTTGATTTAAGGTAGCCCCATAAGAAATAATCCAAAGGGGTGAGATCAGGTGATCTCGCTGGCCACTCTATCGGTCCTCGTCTACCAATCCACCTCTCAAGAAAACATGTGTCCAAAAAATTACGGACAGAACGCGCATAGTGCAGAGGTGCCTTGTCCTGTTGAAACCAAATGGTATCACTTGGTAGATCGGGTAGTTTTATTGCCACATCCTATAAGAATTAAAACTTTAATTCTCTATGATTCCATTAAATGGCCCATATTTAAATCCTTCGAAACGTTTAAGAGACAGATACTTCACTGAACGCTCAACTAAAAGATTTTACATCTAGTAGTGAATATTTTTTAAAATTATATGATTACAAAGAAATATAAAATTAAAAATTTCTATATATCAACAATTGCTATTTGTTGAATAACAAAAAACAATAATAAACTGAAAAAGTTTGACCTTGAAATGAAATATTTTGAGAGAATTTATGAACATGTCTTCTATAAACACATTTTAATTTTATCAAAACCCCATTAAAAAGTCTTTTAATAAAAACTATAAAACATCAAAACATTATTAAAAACTATAAATTATCCACTTTTAATAATTAATATCTCCGAAACTATCAGCCCAAAAGGTATAAATGTGCAAATTGCTGAAATCACAATTATATAATCTATTCGAATCTCTAAAAAAAGAGGGGGATACAATTTTAAAAAAATTGCCGATTACGTCAGAGATTCTACAAAAATTTCGGAAAATATGAAAATTGTACATCAAAATGTGGGTAATTGAAAAACAAAATCGACCTGTTCAAGGATTTTTTTGAAATTAGATTTACTCGCCATGCTCATGATATTTTTAATCCATGTACTACACCGAAAAAAAATAATTTAGTTGAGTTAACGTTTGCCTAAATGTCATTTTTGAAAATGTTGTTTTATTAAAAAACCTATTGGATTAATCTATATTTTGGTGTCAAAGCAATAGTCAGAGTTTGTCAAAGTTTATTTATTCATTTGACAGTTAAAATATTGATTTAACATACACTACAAGTCATTAGACGGTGTTGATCACGTGATGTTCTTACATCTCGCCTCAGTTGGCTTACGATAGGAGTATATAAGCTCAGGTAGCCGTTTGTTTTGGGTGTGTTCCACAGTGGAACTTCCACTACACCAAATTGCCCGACACTGATAAGACCCCCAATATAGGTCGAATCAGCTGTCTGTCCGACAGACTCCGTCGGTAGGTATTTGAAGGCATTTGAAGTCTTCAAATATCTTCAAGTGCGTTCCACCTACTTCAAATTGAAGTAGGTGGAACGCACTAAAAAAAACTTGGGCGAGGGAAGGTTCAATTCTTTCACTTTATATTAATTCCATGATTTTTTTTTGAATACCAACCTTTAAAGAATGTTACTTTTACATTTTCAGAATGTTAACCCAAACCAATTAACCCAACATTATCGCAAATTATTTTAATTTAATATTTTATTGGTGTTAAGTGAATATGCTAAAAAGGTTTCCTCGACATTTCAAGAATGTTTAATTTACCAGATTAGCAGATTAGAATAAATATTCTCATTTTGTTCATTTGACTAATATTTTTTGTTCAATTAAACAATACAATTTGACATTTTTAGATTGTTAATTAAACGTGCAAAAATCATTGATTGTATTTAAAGTGCATAAAGAGTTGAATTAATATTTTTTTCAACAGCTTATTTTTTTCAGTGTATTCTGACAGTTTCTTTACTAAAGAAATATTCATTCCGTATTTTTTAAACTGCACAATATATTTATAAAACCTTTTCACAAAACAAATAAATATGAAAATTGTACATCAAAATAATCCATGTACTACACCGAAAAAAAATAATTTAGTTGAGTTAACGTTTGCCTAAATGTCATTTTTGAAAATGTTGTTTCATTAAAAAACCTATTGGATTAATCTATATTTTGGTGTCAAAGCAATAGTCAGAGTTTGTCAAAGTTTATTTGTTCATTTGACAGTTAAAATATTGATTTAACATACACTACACGTCATTAGACGGTGTTGATCACGTGATGTTCTTACATCTCGCCTCAGTTGGCTTACGATAGGAGTATATAAGCTCAGGTAGCCGTTTGGTTTGGGTGTGTTCCACAGTGGAACTTCCACTACACCAAATTGCCCGACACTGATAAGACCCCCAATATAGGTCGAATCAGCTATCTGTCCGACAGACTCCGTCGGTAGGTATTTGAAGGTATTTGTAGTCTTCAAATACCTTCAAGTGCGTTCCACCTACTTCAAATTGAATTAGGTGGAACGCACTAAAAAAAAACTCTGGCGAGGGAAGGTTCAATTCTTTCACTTTATATTAATTCCATAATTTTTTTTTGAATACCAACCTTTAAAGAATGTTACTTTTACATTTTCAGAATGTTAACCCAACCCAATTAACCCAACATTAGCGCAAATTATTTTAATTTAATATTTTATTGGTGTTAAGTGAATATGCTAAAAAGGTTTCCTGGACATTTCAAGAATGTTTAATTAACCAGATTAGCAGATTAGAATAAATATTCTCATTTTGTTCAATTAAACAATACAATTTGACATTTTTAGATTGTTAATTAAACGTGCAAAAATCATTGCTTGTATTTAAAGTGCATAAAGAGTTGAATTAATATTTTTTTTGTTGTTTCAACAGCTTATTTTTTTCAGTGTATTCTGACAGTTTCTTTACTAAAGAAATATTCATTCCGTATTTTTTAAACTGCACAATATATTTAATAAAACCTTTTTACAAAACAAATAAATATTCAGAGGTTCTCTCTTTTTAATAGTTATAAACACAATATTAAAAAAAATAACTGTGTTTAAAATTTAAATATGTAGGTAATAGATATTTTTTATTTACAAATTTAGTTGGTCTATGTTATAGGTATGACATGTAATACGGTGTTTATAATATAAATTATAGTCATAATAATAATCCCCCTTAGTTTAAAAGTTTAAAATAGGTATAAACTATGGCTGAACTGCGATATAGGCATAACAAGTATTCTTAAATAGGTACCCTAAACAAACCTTAAAACCTAAACAAATTCTATAAACATGTTATTTTACCAAAAATTAAATCAAACTCCTCCATATTAGTAAGCTGCTGGAAAACCGGCACAAAATTAATATGAGCTTCAGGCCAAACCTCTGGAATATCTTCTTTTTCCATGTTTAAAGGCGGTTCCCATGCCAACAACTGTGTAACCACTACTTTTTTAACATACGGATTGCACAACGCCAACAATTCCACCATTGTTTCTTCGTCGTTGTATTGTGGCTGAGCGTTTTCCAGCATAAATTGAACGTGACGTTCCAAGTATAATTTTTTCCAAGTCGCGTCTCTAGGCATAAGATGCATGAAAAGGCCAAACTTGTCTGAATATCTTTTTTCCCAATAATAATCATACTAAAAACAGTAGAGTAGATGAAATCAATATTTCTTAAAAATATACGTGTTATTTAACTTTAAAGGAATAATTAAAAGTGTCCCAAAAATGAAGGGTATTTTAGAATGAACGGTATAGATTTTAGGAGGTGGTAGAACTTTCTAATATATTTTAAAATTTGTTAAATAAACATAGTAAAGAAATGACCCCTACAATAAGGTACGGACCTAAATTTATATTATAAAATCAACCAAGGATTGAGCCCATTCAGTAGCAGACATTAATTAAGAAACATCTTGAATATAATCGGAAAGGACTTTAGGGCTCTAGCTTAGCTATATTGAAGTCATACGACAACATATAACGCCAATATGACGTGCGATGCTACTTGGGTTGTTTAGGTTACAATATATTTTAATTTATTCAGTTAAAAATAGACAAGGTTTTAATGTGAATCTGAACATCATATTAAATTTTTTATAACTTATACACTATATCACTAAGTTTTTTATATCATTAAAATTTTTAAGTTGTAAATACCATTTATTTTTCTTTATTTTTGTTGTACCTTACAATTGAAGGGGTCAATGCAAGAAGTGCCTAAGTCACATTTTCAATTAAATTGTTATTGTGGCTTCATCTTAGAGTTTTCACGTAAGTTGAAAACCAGGCAAACTCTCATTGAAGTAAATGTAAACTAAGGCACTTGGGCACATATTTCTGCCACTTTGAAAATACCACCTGAAACCTTACGTGAAACATTCTTGAAGGCACAATGTAAATTTAATTGAAAATGTGACTTAGGCACTTCTTGCATTGACCCCTTCAATTGCACCAGATAGTTTTTATGGGGTAGACACAGAATTTTTAAATAATTTTTTTACACAATAATTATGTTTTAAAGATTTTTTTATCTAGTATTATCTTGCTTGCATATTAAGAACCAATGTTGCTAAACTGAAAAATAAAAAAAAACTAAATAAAGGAAATAATTATAAAATTAAAATGCTACCCCATAATAGGCGACTTTCCTCTATCAATTAAAATAACACGTTTATTATTATTTACAATAACAATTTTTGTTTGTTTGCAGGTGTCATTTTACATTTGAATTATAAAAAAACAGACAATATTAGGATTATAAACTAATTTTTTTTAAGCGTATAACAATTTTCATTTTAACACATAAGCATATATATAAAGACTTCATATGCATATTTGTACGCAGTTTAAAGGTCAAATTATTATACACCGCCGTACAATAATGAAAATAAATAAAAAGGTGTGGCACTAAAAATGGCCTATGGCCAAAAGCACTTAGCAAACTGATTTATTTATTTAATACACGAAATTATTCTATTTTAAATAAATGTTTTTTCGTTAAAGAAGTTAAGTGTCAGTTCTTGATACTTTATTGAATTTTAATTTTAGTTTGGATTTTATTTAAATTTTTATAATCTCGAGGCGACTGGTCGTGTCTACGCTCTCGTATAACTCGTTCGTACATATAGTGCTAACACCGCTATTGCTGTTCAAATTCATAAAATATTCTACACGTGATCTACCAGATCCAAAATGAATCATCCAAGTTCAAAAAGGGTGTAAATTGCGTGTGCACCTTAGCCTGAATTAAGTCCCAGAAACTACGCTTGCTAATACGGTCGAGGTTAAGGAATAACTTTACCACACCTGCCTAGGTATCATGATACTCTTTAGTTCAAGTCCAACTCTGTATAAAGCGGATAAGTCATTTTTTTTTTTAAATTTCCTGACCTTAATGATACCCAAATACTAAAATTCGCAAGCTTAAGTAACTAACAAAAAATTCCACCAGATAAAAATTAATTAGTCGCCAACATTTCATATAAAAACAGCATCAAAGCCAAAGAAATTATAAAGAACAGAGGGGTGCAACGTGATCGATAGTCAAATAACCTTGAAACCGACTCGGACACAGACGAACATGAAGTACTAAAATACCAGCAAGGATAGGTCCTAGCTGCGTACTAACCACAAAATTCCCATTCATGAACCTCAATTGAATGGGTATATTACTAAATACCTGATTAAGAAGTAACCGAATTGTAGTCAGTTCAATGTCGCTCAAAAACCAAAATGTTTACCGTCCTGGTCCCACAATCAACTAGCCTAAATCGGACGTATGGCCCGTCCCAGCAACAAAATTCCCGGAGTGGCCTTAACCATCGACACTGTCATCCACGACCTCCTAGGGAAAATTTACCAGCCTGGGTGAAAATTAGAATCTACCAAACACAGGTAATGCCGTACACTGGCGGGATACGTATGAAAACCAAATAATACCAATTAAACCAATTAATATAAAAAATGATTCTTAAGTTCATGGACATTGTAGTATGAAGGGTTAATTTTTTATCCATTTTGCTGCCTTGTTAATTGTTTTTTAACTGGGTTTAGAGCATTTTAATTAAAAATAAATTTAACCCTGTTAAGTCTTTTTTTTACTATAAGCAAGTTTAAAAAAAGTATATTTTAAATACAATGTTTACTCACATCAATTTTATTAATGCAGAATTCAATAGGTAAGTCAAATGATAATATTTCGTACAAATGGTTTAAATCAGCACAAGGGAGCTCTTCCAACAAGGGATTTCTTTCGAAAAACTTATTTATGACGTGAACACAAAGATCTTTAAGGCTCGGACATTGATCGTCATCCCAATCAAAATTTTCGCTGACTAGTTTCCTAATACTTTCTCCTAATAATTCCAACGCTTGCTCGGAAGGCGTATACGCTTTAAGAACATTTTCGCTAATGATATGTGGAAGCTTCATTTTAAAAGATAAATTAACTAAAACAAGAAAATTAAAAAATGACAATTGTAATAAAATACAACAGTTAACCTTAAATTACAACCAAATGTCATTTAAAGAGCCAACAAGATCATCATGCTCGTTTTATAGCCCCAATCAAAGATAATATGTATTATCTTTGGCCAATTAATTAAAATTAACTTTACAGTAACTGTTAGCAATCAAAGTATATTATTGTTGGCTTTTTAAATGACATTTGGTTGTAATTTAAGGTTAACCCTTGACTTTTGAGACACCCTGTAAGTATATATATATATATATATATATATATATATATATATATATATACAGGGTGTCAAGGGGTGGGTAGAGGATAGAGGATGGGAGTCGAATAGTCTTAGCCGTTTTTCGATTAGACGCACCATTAGTTGTTAATAAAATAAAGTATCCAATCACAGGCGTGTTTTAGCAGAATAATTAGAGCTGGGAGAACTAATAAGAACAGTGTAGCTTAATCTTAGAAATTCTATATAAAATCGTAATTAATTATATATTAAAAAATAAATGGTAAAATAAGTCTTGAATTCTATAAAAAATATTGGAAAGTCTTAAAAAAAGTCATTCATGCAGCTAAGCTTAGATCTGATGAAATATATATTCAAATGTCATCAAATAAAGGAAAATCTATGTGGGACATTATAAAAAATTACTCCGAAAATAAAACTAAAAACCAAGAATCTTTAATAGAATGTTTTAAAGAGAAAAATATTAATAACTTAAAAACTACAAATTATTTAATATGTTTAAAACCAACTAGGTATATTGAAGTCTACAATGTGATAATGGATCTTAAGAATACTACTGCAGATGGCATTGACAACATAATGGTAAAAATACTTAAAGCCTTAGAACTGCTACCACCATTAACTCATCCAATTATATATATATATATATATACGAGCCCTGTCTCAGTGAAGTTGGCCCAACCAACAAAAATAGATTTTTGAAGATATTTAGAATATTATACGGTAATTAATTAAAATTAACACATTGTTTTAATTAAATAAATAACGTTTATTAAATTTTCTACTGTTAAATTGTATTTTTAAGTACCTAATAAAAAAATATTTAAAATTCTCTTATATTGTCCGTAAACCAAAAATTAAGAAAAAAAAATATTTTAAATAAATACATTTTAATTGGAAACTACCACTGCGTAACATCTCCTTTATGGCTTATTACTGCCTGTATACGTCTCGGCATGGTGTCAACCAATTTTTGACAATCATCCGGCGTAAAATTATTCCAAATTTCTTGCAGGAGAGCACGCAACTCTAAGACGGTTCTTGCGGGCTGTTCTCTGAGCTTCTTTTTCATAATATGCCACAAAGTTTCTATAGGCGAAAGATCTGGACTACTAGATGTCCATTTTAAAAGTGAAATATTATTTTCTATCATCCAAGCTTTCACTTTTTTAGCCGTATGACACGCTGCACCATCTTGTTGGAAGATGCATTCAATATCATTTAAACGCATTTCTTCAATTTGCGGCTTTAAGTTATTTTTTAGGACGTAAATATATTTATCAGGATTCATAATGCCCTCTACAAAGTGTAATTTACCGATCCCTTTAGATGACATAGATCCCCAAATCATCACAGAGGCCGAAAACTTTACTTTTTTCTTAAGACAGTCATTCTGAAAGACTTTTGCTTTAGTTCTAATGACTCGGCTTCGATTATCACCAACGCAAACTTCAAATCTAGCTTCGTTACTCCATATAATTAAATCCCATTGATTTTGACACCAAGTCCTGTGCTCTTTTGCCCAGAGAAGTCTATTTTTCTTGTTTTTTTGTCAATAATGGTTTTTCCTTTGCCTACAGATAGTAAAATTAAAAATAAATAAAAATCGTATACATTATAAGCAAACCTTGTAAGTTTTAAACCCAAGTTTTTGAGCAGCTCTATGACAGGTTGCTCTTGAAAAACATTTACTCGTTGCCTGATTCCACAAAACTTTTAATTCACCGTAATTAGCCCTACGATTTTGAACGATAATTCTTCTTAAAGCCCTTAAATTTTTATCAGAATAGTGAGGACGACTTCCATTTTTTGGTTTCTGCGCCACAGATCCTGTAGTTTTGTGCAGTTTAATAATATTTCGCACTGTACCTATATCATGACAAATTAAGTTTCAGCGATTTTTGCAGCGGATTTTCTTTTTAAATGCAAGTGAATTATTATCACTTTTCTTATTTCTTCAGAAACAGCTTTTCCTCGGGACATTATTATTTGTCAACCACACCGAAAGCATAAATATATACTGGAATGTCACTACCGACTTGCTTACAATTATTTAAATATCAAATATTATCTTTACTTTTAGCACAGCCGACTTGCATTAAAAAATCTGGCCATCCAAGTTAATGCATTTTTGTCGATTTTTTGTATTGTAACCAAACATCCAACTTAAAACTAAATAATATACATACACATACTTTTAAACAAATTTTACAACATGAAGATTGACCAAGAATTAAATATGATAAAAAATTGTTGGCTTTTCATCGCATAAAATTACAAATTTTATATTTTGAGTGGTTGGGCCAACTTCACTGAGACAGGGCTCGTATATATATATATATATATCTTTAAATTCTGAAATCCAGATTTATTAAAAACTGCAGAAGTATTACCAATTTATAAAAAAGAAGGCAAAACTAATATCGGAAACTACAGACCAAAAGCACGTCTAATAAAGATAAGTAAAGTCTTTGAAATTTTTTGTATCATAGACTAATATCATATTTTGAACAAAAGCAAATACTATCTAAAACGCAAAACGGATTTAGACCAGGTAAATAAACTTTTAGAGCCATATTTCAAAGTATGACATTATTATTAGATGTACTCAATAATTTCAAAAAAAAAACATCCCTGACTTCCCAGTAAGCACAAGCTAGCCGGCCCGCATACGGCCCGAATACGTTTTGCCGAATCGGCCGCGTGCGCCCCCACACATGTATTTGTTCCGGGGTGTAGACCGGGCATGTCCGCCTGGCCGAGTGTCGGCTGTGTATAGTTGGCCGAGTGCCGACGACAACAGCCTGGCAATTCAAAAAAAGCCTTCAGACGTCCTGAATAGCTACATCCTATAGGTTTAACACACTCGACTATAGCTAGCCATTTTTTGTTATTGAGCAGATGAGGATGGAGATGGGGATTTCAAACAATTAATGTTCAGCTATGCCATTACAGACACACACTTCCAAATAAATATTGAAACCATTCGCTATTTATAGTTAGCTCGCTTGCGTAAGCAGCCGTGAGATGTATTGTTTATGTTTCGGCAGGCCGTATTCCGGCCGTAAGAGGGCCGGCTAGGGCAAGCCGAACGATTTTGCAGCGGCATGTCGTATTCTGGCCGACTTTGGTTAGAACATGGCCAAACGGTACCGGGCTAATATAACGCGGGCTATAAGCGGGACGACTGGCGGCAAGCCGAACCGCCAAATCAAACGGCAAATTTAAAATTGTACGACTGACCCCGCCCACAATGCCAAGTTGACAAGTTTCTAATTGCATTTTCATTTTTGTTTAATTTTAATGTTGCCAAGTACCTATATAATTGTATTTTTAAATATTTAAATATTTTTTATAGTTTTAAGCTGGATTTATAGTTTTAAAGGTAACGGTAGAGGCAGCGGTAGAGGTAGCGGTAGAGGTAGCGGTAGAGGTAGCGGTAGCGGTAGCAGTAGCGGTATCACTTTCTGCAATTTAGGGAGGTAGAGGCAAGAACGTAACGGTAAGAGATGACCATTTTTCATCTTTTCTTACTTCAACCGCTACTCCAGCCAATTGGCAGTCTCGCCTTGTAAGTTTAGTTTTTATGCGACGAGCAATCAGACTTGATAAATTGTCAAAAATGGGCACCGTCATTTGTGTATTTAAAGAAATGCTCTTTATCAGTCAGTTTTATTTTTTTTTAATACTGGAAATGGCTTTTCTTAGCTCGTTCCCGATTTAATTCCCTCGTTTTATAGCGACGTACTTGACGACACTCATAACTTACTTGAAACCCTGCAATACTACATAATATGTTGTATTACAGGGTTTATTGTATAATATTTCGCACAACGACATATGGCCCAGAAGCACAGCATTGTCCTCGCAATCCATGTTCTACGAGACAACTTAACCTTTTACTGTCAAATTTTAAAAACAAAAATACAATTTGCATTAAAGTACGCATGAGTCGCCAGTACCGTTACGGCTACTTTCTGAACTATAAATTGCAGAAAGCGATACCGCTACCGCTACCTCTAGCGCTACCTCTACCGCTGCCTTTAACTCTGACAACTATAAATTGTTTTATATAATAATCAATGCCGAACTCCGCTACCGCTACCCCTACCGCTACTTTTACCGCTGCCTCTACCGTTACCTTTAAAACTATAAATCCAGCTTTAATGTTTTAATGTCGTATGTTTAAAACGCACGCTAAGGCACGGTTTCGCCCGATGTTTGCAAAATGTACGATCAGGCATGAAAACGCACGTAAACCGTGCAATTGCACGGTCATTGGCAACACAGTAGAATCTTTTCTGTGAAGATAGGACCTATATCACCTTCTTCTTCCACCATGGACACGACGATGGATCTCACCCGAGTATTGGGAAATAAGCGATCCATCCTATTCTTATTTTAACAAAGTATGATGCTTGGCGGGAGATCGCAGAAACATGTTGTAGAGATGTAGAAGACATACAGAGAAAATTTAAAAGCTTAAAGGGATCCTACAGAAGGGAAAAGGCCACTTTGCTAATGACAAGCAGTATTGAAAGTAGGCGATAGTTATTGGGATCACCTTTCTCATCCTTTTTAAAAATCTTTATAACTGAAGCTCCTTTTAAGCAGTTGAGAAAATGCCATTAATACACTTTTCAAAAAAATTATAAAGGGAGATATAAGTACTATAAGTAAGTATTTTTAAAAGTTTATTGTTAAGGCATAAATATCGGTGTTAGGACCTAAAAACCGTAGCAGATAACCAAGTGGATTTTAGCAATCAAAATACAGAATATGATGTTGGTATTTATAGGCCTAAAATAAATAGAGAGGCCTGTGTAAAAAATTATGTATATAATTTGGAGGAAGTTGATCAAGTCATAAATAAT